TAAAATGAGATGTTTATCCTGTATTTGATTGTGTTTATTTGCAGTTAGTTACACGAATTCAGTTATGGGATGAAATCGGATAGGGATGAAATTGTTTAGGGATGAACGGGTTTAAGAGTTTAAGAGTTTTAAGAGTTTAAGAGTTTTTAAGAGTTTTAGCCAAATGCTTTATAATATAGTATAGATATATATATATAGAGAGAGAGAGAGAGGGAGAGAGAGAGAGAGAGAGAGAGAGAGAGAGAGAGAGAGAGGGGGCAGGTTAGATTACAAACATTTGGTTAGTGAAAACTATGCAAACTACTTTCGACCAATAGAAAATTTCCGTTGTTTATTCTTTAATTTTAATAAGTAAGGATATAATTATCATTTTACTATATAATGGTTAATATTGGAAAGGATTTAATTATTTTACTATATGTGTATGTATGTATGTATATATACACGTACGTGGATTATGAGATTTGAAATGGGCATGCATGACATGAATATGGAGAGGTTTGTGAAGAAGTAACAAGAGGAATACCCACTCATTCCCTTCAAATAGACAAACTCATATCTCCCAAATTTATGTGTATTTCTAAAAAATACACATATTTTGCTACCTTTTGTTTTTAATATATACATTATTATGTTTCTTTGCTACATTTTATTTTTAATTATTTATTATATATATATATATATACCATATTATAAAACATTTGACAAAAACTTTTAAAAACCATTTTTTATGCATGAAATACTGTTTATTGATACATATTACTTAAAATTTAAGAGTACAAGTAATTTTGCGTAAGTACAAATTATTAAAGCTCCATTTTTAAATTTGTATAACTAACTGCAGATAAACATAATCAAATACAGGATATACATTCATTTTAAATATAGAAAATCTAAAATATAATTAAGATAATCATTGAGTCTTAACAGAATACTTAATTATTATCTTTATAAAAAATTATATTATTAATCAAAAATAAATTACTTTGTTATTAAATCTAAATTGAATTATAATAAAAAAAAATTGAATTAAAGAACTTGTACCAAAGAAACGAGAACTATTAAATTTGATACTAATATCGATTTATTTTTTTTCAAAATTTTATGCTATCTTCAAATTTATAATTTATTCAAAAATAAAAACATTATCGATTTCTCAAAAACCACATAAAATCGTATTATATCGATAGACATCAAAAATAAAAACTAAACATTAAAATCGAAATTTATCTCGTTGTATTGCACGAGAACCATTCTAGTGTGTGTGTGTGTGTGTGTGTGTGTGTATATATATATATAGAGAGAGAGAGAGAAAGAGAGAGAGAGAGAGAGAGAGAGAGAGAGAGGGTTTGTTTCAAATACAAACTGTTGCATTTGTACAACCAATACCAATGCAACCCAATAAATTGAGATATTTATGAAAATGATGAGAGTTCATTTATTATGAATTGAATATTTATGGAAGATGAATATGGTTCATTAATTATGATCAATACTTTATATTTGGAAACAATCAAAACTTCTATGAAATCACATATTAATCAAATAAAATGGACGATTGAGATTGGGTTGTATTGGTTGCACAAATGTCATGGGCTGTATAATAACCAATCCCTCTATATATATATATATATATATATATATATATATATATATAAAAGTTAAACACAAAATCTTGTGCTTTAAATAAAGAGAACACGGAAAGAAAGCGTTGTACACGTGTTTACATTTATAGCCTTCAAAATAATATCTTCTTGAGTCATTTTCTTTTTGTTAACATGATACATCCATTTCAGATGTGTCTATGTGTATAGACACACATGTTAAAAGCAATTGTTTCTAGTTTAATTCGTGTTATAAATGTACAAAGACTTTTATAACTTAAAGTTAATAACTTGATTGGTCCACCTTCATAAACCATTAGGTGGCATTGGACACCGAAAGACTCTTTATTATTATTAAGACATGTCTGAAATAAAATAATTAAATAAAAATAAAAAAATAGAGTAAGCTACACATTTGGTCATGTGGTTTGTTGGAATAATCGAATTTTTCATAACTACAATAACGAAATTACCAGATGACTATCATAGTTTACAAAAACATCATGATTTGCTTTCTTTAATGGCCGTTAAAGAATTCCATTAAATGAGAAGCATTTTGGTCTTATATCAATGTTCTATCTTTTACACAATCAAAATCAACAGGAACCAAAATCACAAAATCAATCTGATTGAGTAAAAAGACAAAAAAAAATATTAAAAAGACGAAAACGCCTCTCATCTATAGGAATTTTTCAACAGCGGTTAGCGAAAAAGGCTAAATCCTACAAACCACGATGGCCGTTTTGTAGGTTCAAAACACGACAAAAGGTGTTATTTTCAACAAACCACAAGGACCAAATTTGTGGTTTACTCTGAAAAAATACATAATGACTGAACATCACACCAACTTGATGATTATGCATGTGGTCTATGGTTTACTTAAGCCTTTTACAAGCAATGATTCTGCAATTGGTGGCAACCTGCCTGGAACCAACCCTCATTAGCAACCAAAAGTCAACATCATAAATCCTACCAACAAAAGTCAGCTTCAGTAAAGTTGATGCCTTTTTATACACATCATAAAATAATAGTTCCAAGATAATCTTTAAATGCATCATAAAATATAAAAATAGTTCCAAATTTTGCAAGAAAAGTACACCCTTCAATGCACAAGGTACAAGTCACTAAAAGAACCACTTTATACACATGTTCTTGAAAAACAATGCAGAAACCAAGAAACCAAAATTTTTTGATTCAAGAAATCAGTAAATGATGATAATATTATAAGGGTACCCAGTTGCTAAAAAAACAAGATTTTTAAAACCATAGCAACAACAGACTTTCACAGCTACACTAAATCTAAAACAAACTGTGCAGCAAAACCAACAAAAATCCAAAAACCAGAAGCAGCAGCCAGCGAGCAAGTCCATATCGATTGGTGCGGGAATGAACATCATTTGCGTTCATTCCCGACAAACTTTTTTTCATTTTTATACATCTGATGCTGTGTGCAGTGAGTGGCATCATTGACCCAAAGTCTGGTCATATGTAAACAGGTTTGACATCATTAGCACCAAAACTTGCAGCACAAAGAGGGCACTTACGATGCCGAGTTTCAATGATCTTCTGGACACACACATTGCAAAAGAGATGATAACATTTTGTGATCACCACCTGCCAAAACAAAATCTTATTATAAGCAACCGCAATTTTTACAAAAGCATCACACCTTTCCAGAAAAGGAAGCGATAATCAAACTTAAACTAGAACAAAGAGCATCCCATATATATTAAGCCAAACCATGTTTTTTGACCAACATCTATTTACATACACATAATAAACACCCCCATCTCCTCGGTTTTCTTAAATTATCCGAATCCCAGGATTCTCCTGGTCTTTGACCCAATTTGTTTGTACTGATTCCTCTGAGGCCCATCTGACATGATTTCTTTTGACCCTTTACCATTACCATGATGCAGGTTTCCCCATCCCCACCCTACCCCGCCAGGCGCCAGCCGCCAGCTGCCAGCACATGTATGGTCAATCACTTTTATTCCTCTTAACATTCATAAATAGAAAGGCCAATTGCTGAAGGTATCAGGTCATGATGGGACCTGATAAAGCCAAAGTGCATTTTCTGGGGTTGAGGATTTCAATCCAGAATATATATGAAGCTTCTTGAGATCACTACATTAATAATAATAATAATAAACTAATGCTATAGTGCAGATTCCTAAGCAAGACAAGAATTGAGTAACTGAACAAAGCTCAGTAGAAAATATACCTAAACGCGAAAAAAACCAAGAACCAACCAGAATCTAGAAGAAAATCACAACTTGATTTGAAAATATCTCTCATCTTCTTTTAGTATGAGAAAGGCAAGGAATGAGACACCCTTCTAGCTCCATAGGAGATAGTAGAATATAAAAAACAAAGAAAACCTAAATAGAAAAATGAAAGCAGCGTTCTTGTTCCTGTAGAGAATTTTGGATGACAAACAGCAAAAATCTGATGGTCAAGAAAGAAAACAAAAAGAAAAAAGGATCCGGCTTGAGCAATAAAAAGATGAGGAAATGAAAATGAGTAACCAACACCAGAAAACTGCCTCCTAAACATCGATTTCTGTAACTCCTTCAGACATAAATCTGTTGCAGTTGAATTCATTCAGGAAAAAGGGGAATCTAGCTTATGCGATAGAAAGATGAGGGGGAAAGGAAGATAAATACCCAACATCAGAAAATGCCTCCTAGACATTGACTTCGGTAACTCCTTAAGATGTAGATATGTTGTAGTTGAATTCATTTCAAGGGGAGACAGAAAATGATACCAAATTTGCATGAAGACTTGATACTGTCGATTCTTGCCTTCACCTGTTTGATATTAAGCACTAGCCTTCATCAAATATTTACATCCATGCAAGTTGAATTTTACCAAGCCCCATACATTAACCAGAAAGGTTTTTGGTGTTATACATAGGGCTCCTATTTGTGTTTTCTTGCTTGATAAGAGCACTATAGCCGTTAGGGATGTTCATCAAACTGCATAAACAGCCCACACCACACCGAAACGGGTGCTTCAGAACTTTTGCAGTGCGGTTTGCATTTTTATCAAATTGCACCAAGTGGTGCATTTTGTGCTTTTGAATTATGAAACCGCAGTTCAAACTGCACCATACATATGCGAAAAATATAAATATAATAATAATAATAATAAAATCTATAGAGATGAAAGACAACGTGAACCGGAACTTTTTTATTTCGTTTTGGATTTTAAGTTTGTTTTGCACTATAATTTATACTACCTTATAAACCAGATTTATCAAAAGTCTTAAAAACAATTTTTAATGCACAAAATACTATACATTTATGCACAAAGTCTTAAAAGTCTTAAAAACAACTCATAATGCATTAAGTACTACTACTTTATGCATTCAGTCTTAAAATCTCTTAATCTACAATTAAATAACATATATTATAAGTTACCAATGCACATTATTACCTTTTCTTTTCATGTTTCCAAGATACTTTTGACACCTTTCACTCATGTGTTCACCCTCTTATACCTCTATGTCTTCTCCCCATACCCCAAGGTGAGATTTAAACTGATATTCACCATGAGTTATTAAAAGTTCTCATTCAATTACTCTAGAACTCTCAATCTCGCTCTCGATCTCTTGATTCTTTGCTCTTGGTGTAAATCGAACACATTTGTGGAGTCGTTTAAATATGTTGGATTTTAAATATATTGGATTTTAAATATATTGGACTTTAAACCATCATACAATTTTTTTCACCGATAGACTGTAATTGGAACCATAACTCTTATTTATTCAAATTATATTAATATGTAAAGGTCAAGTGTAATTTATATCATCGTTAAATCTTCTCTAATAAAACCAATGAGACTTCAAAATCGTTAAAATTCACGGCTCCCGCTGCATTGCGCGGGTACACAACTACTTATGTTATGTATTTGGATTAATTGTGGAACTTTTTACTTTGTTTGGACTATTTTTAATTATGCATTTGGAATGTATTGGAGAGTTTTACTCTATGGATATCATAGGCGAATTTATTTTGGACTTATAATTTTATAATTATTGGAACTGAAGTGCGTTATGCACCACACTTCGAAGGTACAGTTTTTTCGTGGTCTGAGGCATATGCGATGTGGTTTGCAGTTTTGGCCCTAAACCACACAGCGCCGAGAACACCCCTGGTACTAGGCATTCTGATGATAGTATGATACATCATTGTCACAACTTCTACCGTTATGTGTAACATTAGGTTAAAAGAAGTTCCTAATTATACTGATACTCACATTCCCCCAGGAATTCATTGTTGACTGTTCAGCCCGTCACCAAACACCCCCGCCGCTCCTCCCCCAACCCAATAATTGAAAGCCACAAAAACTCGTGTCCCAGTTGCAAATAAAGAATAACATACTAATATAGGGACCAATTTAACTGCTGATGAAAAGAGACTTTAGTTGCAAAAGCATGTACCTCTTTTGGCCTGTCAAGGCATACACTGCATTTGAGTATTTCCTTGTATTCTTTCAGCTCCTGCTGAAGCTTTTCCACAACCGAAGACCCATCCAAGTGCGACCTTAGACGTAAATGCTTTCTCCTTGCAGCTTCTAACTCCTCTTCAACTCTCTTTTTGTCAAACCTAAGTAACAAAACAATCAAGTTTTCACCAAAATGAAATTCCCTTAGTAAAAAGAAAATTGAGGAATCTTGTTAACTAAAATCTATGTTATCCATTTCTTGTATAATGATTACTGGTGAGTAAAAAAAGTATATTTCCTTACCAGAAGGAAATTGTGCATTAAATTTGGGACCAATAGAATATGAGAGAAAAGGGAGAGAAAGGTGTTCCATTTACCTCTCCTTTTCTAACTCAATCTGCAAATCCATGAGACTGACTCTACTTCTGTCAACCTTAATCTGTGATTCCTCCAATGACTCTGTTAGCTGCTGGGATGTTCTCCTAACATCTTGCAGTCTCCTTTGAGTATTTTCTAAGGCAACTGTCTTTTGAACCCTAGTTTCAGACAGCTTCTGAACTTGATCTGAACACGATTTCATCTACAAAAAACAAATCTTGACTCAGTATCTACCAATACCGACACCACCTAAAAACGAATTATTTGACTTCTTGTAGCTATTGCAAAAAGAACACCAGAGATTTTGAACAAAGAATGCCAAATACAATGAGTTTTTTTGTCAATTTGTATTTCCATAGTTCATCTCAAGCTGCTCACTATTCGATAATCTCTTGCTGTGTGTTCTGCATCCAAACTGCAGACACGCTTGCCAGGACATATATGGGTTGGTTGGTTGGTTTGCGAAGTCATGGGAGAGGCAGGCTAAGTGAAATAATATACTGGTTTTACTACACAATCTTATAAATCAAGCACGGAACACTTTCAATATCTCCTCTGTCTACAAGGTGAACGAGCATTTAAACAAGAATGACAAATAGCTTGCATTGAAAAGTCAAGTATGATGGTCTAAAAAGTCGAATCACTTGTTTGAAAGGACCTGATCTTCAATTCTTTCTGCTTTTGTTTCATAGAAATTAAGCAATGCATTGCCCTGCTGAATCTTCCGTTCCACAGTTTGTACATCCAGGAGAAGAGAATCCTGCAGCTGCCTTGCACGCACTCCCTCCAATACAAGCTGAAACAAGATGACAGAGTCCTATAGTGAATACTTTTAAAATAAATAATATCAAAATATGATTTTGAAGAATAGGTTGTCCAAAGATTTTGTCCTGCCTGGAGTTCAATATACTCACTATTCAGGAGGTAATATATGAAACCAAATAGTTATACGAAAAGGAACAACTTAGATACTGCAGGCATTACCAAAACACAAGCATAAATAAATATCACAATCCAAATCCAATAGACAAAGGCTAAGCCCAAATCTAACTTAAATCTGTTTCACAACAGAAGCACCTGTCAATTTTGTAAAAGAAAAAACGGGTGAATCTAGGAATGAAACATAGTTAATTAGATCTTACTGTAATTTGATTGAAAAAATAGAAGTAGTTACCTTAATGTTATAGTCATCTCTCTCAGTTATTTGCTGCAAAAGCTGTTGATTTTGAGTTTGGATGTCATCGTATGCCTGGCCAATAGTCTGCACAAAAAAGAAACCAGCATCCTTAGGATCTAATTTTGGAATATGATTAAAGCACTATCCATTAACTAACCTCAATCTCAGAAAGGTAGGCCTCATTTTCCTCATGCTTTGACTTCAGGACATCAGAGAGCCTACATTTTTCCCTGAAAGCAGGGCATAAGGATGTATACTGTCAGCAAATACAAGAAGCATATTAATAGCATGCAATACACTTGAATCATGAGACAAAGAGTCTACCGTCTCGATCTTTCCAATTTCTGCCTCAGATCAGCAATCTTAGCTTCTGCAGCAGCTAACATTTGTTGAGATGCTGCCTCAGCTTCAATTGCTGTCTTGACTCGAGTTTCCAAGTTATGCTCATCAAGAGAATAATTCAGGCTCTGGACACGAGCCCAAGCCTTATACTCAGAGTTCCTAGCCTCAAGAAAATCCCTGCAATAAACCTTTTCAGTCTCTTGCAAATAAACCTCTAAGAGTGCAACCAAGGGGGCATCATAGTGCCAAGGAGTTCCTTTTGAAGAACAATAATACGCATATTTAAAGTAAACAAAGGATATTAACAAGCCTTGTATTAGAATATGGCTAACATTTCCATCATTTCTCTATGTTCAGGCACAATGAAACACCAGTAACTGAAGACATCCTACTATCAAGGCTTTAGCTCTTCAAGTACACATACATCATACAGGCGCCATACAAACACCGAGTATACGGCTAGAAAACGGCCACGAAAGCATTCAGCAAGGAAGCCTATTGAACATCTTTGAAGACCTCATAACGTTTGAGGATAATATAAAGCTCCCCTTGATGTTCTGGGTCCTTGTATCACGTAAAAGCTTTATGATAATTAATAGGCTAGAATCTGTGTAGTAAAACCTAGAAGATTCCTTAGTCTATGTCCCTTGGAGGGTTGGAGCCCCACATAAAATGCAGAGGCCTCCCTTTTGTAGCATGCAGCGTGAGGATCAACTTTTGGGAATGATAAATAATAAAGAACAAGAGTAGAGGTGCATGCTCATTCCTATAAGTTGCCTCCATAACATACTTATCTACTGTTTCGTCCTAGACTGATGTTTGCTCAACAAGGACAAAGAGTTGATGGTAAGGCCGCATGAAGTCGGAAAAGTAAGTCCATGACACTAGGTACTTCCTCAGCATTCAAACTTGCACCACCCACATAGGGCACAGTGACATTTTACTCTTGCCTGGTACGATTTAGTAAAGAAAAGAATCTTACACTAAAAGTAACTTCTGCATACTCTAGTTCCCATAATCACCTATAATTTTCCATCAATGAACATGGTCTCATCGTCTAACAGCATGCATCATAATTTATCACCGTCGATATACTTGGTGATCTCATCCATTCCTTAAGGCAAAAAGGTAATGGCATATATTGTTTGTCGCCAGTTAATGCAGACATCATAAAAATACATAATCACACAATACACTTTGAAGGGAATTCATTCTTCCTAAGAGCACGCTCCATAACTTCCTTCAACACTATCATATGCTTCATCAGATAAATACTGATATAGAATCTCTTGTCTGTCCCAAATTCACTTTAAAATAACAGCATTAAGTTACATGCTGACTTGGGAAGATATTAAAAATAATAATAATAATAATAATAATAGCATTCTATATCTTGCAGTAATCCCAGCTATTGATTTGAAAAGGAAGACGGGTCAAAAGAAAAGATTAAAGCATACAACACCAGCATGCTTGATACAAATCACGTAACTATGAAAAACGCCTATTAATTACAAACAAAAAAAGCTTATGCAAATTGTTGGATAAATTTTTCTAGTTCTTTAAGATTTATAACATATTGAAGAATACCTATAGGAGTTGATAAATTTTTCTAGTTCTTTAAGTAACATGACCATGTCTAAATCAGTTACAAAGGGCAAGACTCGGATTTACAAAAGCTCTCTAGAGTTGCTTAACCTTGAATAGATGGTTTCCCGCCTGTGCACGTCCAAAATGACCTTCAACTCTGAATCGCTCTCCTCCAAATCATGTATCTATATTGAAGTTAACTGAGTTAGATAAAATAGATCAAATAACTGAGAGGTGCGTATAAAAAATGGCACAAATGGAAAAATAAACCCCAAGGAGAAGAAAAAAAATTGATAAGATAAACACTGCTTCCACTGATATAAGAAGTACCAAAACCCCAAGAGACCCTGATGCTTGTGTCTCATAGTCAGGGAATTGGGTCATCAAGCATCCGTGGGAAACTTTGCCCTTGTGATAAATGAAATGATGAGAGATCTTACCATGAGGTATTGCATCTTATTGCACTTCAAGCATTAGTGCATAATGACTTGAAAAGCCATCAGCAATAGAACAACAGGCATAAGCTTTAATTGTTGCAAAATATAACAGTCATGAAATTCAATATTAATCAAACAAAGTGCAATTTAGGCCTTGGTTATGACAAAAGACACTCAAGACTGATCTGCAAAAACCATGATATTGCTCAATCTGCAGATTTCCAACCCTTGACCATTTATAACATTGGGGACCCCTGAATCAAGCCATTTCTATCTTATGGTTACAATTTTCAAAATATGTTGTGCAATGATTGAAAATCAAGGATATAATTGTCTTTTAAGCCCAAGGTCTATTAGACTTTGTTATCCCTTACTTTCCATGTCAACTAGTAATAGATCTCCCACACAGCTCCCTCCCTCATATTCCTACCCGGCCCCTGTCATCCCTCCAGAAGGTTTCTGCTGCTCCAAAACGAAACAATACCGGACCTCCCAACCACACCCTAGCAATCGACATTCGCTAAGTGAAAATAGATGTGATTAGTTTGATGAGAACCAACAACGTCGTATTTAAATTTGATAAAAATGGAATCTTAGTAACTCAAAGAAAGCAGATTACCAAAGAACAGGAGTCTGCACTCGAATAAGAAGAAGTAACCAAATCAAACTCCAACACAAACTATTGAACTGAAGTTACAAAAGCAAGTATTCATATCAAACAGCAATGTCAAAGCTTGTCCAAAAGGTGTTCAAATCAACAGAGATCAAACTGAACCCAGATAGACACATACCACTAAGTTAAAATCCATAGTTGCTGTCAAAATTGAAATCAAATTTGATTATACATGTAGTAAAAACCTATCCCAAGATCAAAACCTAAATTGAGTGTTCTTATTGAAAAAATTTTCTGGAAGTCAAATTCTTACATATGGAATCAGAATAAAAATCAATCAGCTTGTGAAGACCCCACACACACCTCAAAACAAATTTCAACGGGTATACGGTGGGTCAGCACCAACAAGAGTCATGAAGAGTAAGAATCGTACATGTTTCACGGTTTTATGCCTCATTATTTTCGGTTACTATCCTGATCCTTGGCATGAGCTTGTGAGATTGCGGATGTAGTCAATCCATACACCGATGAACATGCATTGCAATTTTTCTTAAACAAGGTGGGTTAGAGATTGAGTTGGAGAAGAGAATGGATGGGAGGCAGACAGGTAATGGAGGATGAGGATGGCCCAAAATGGGGGCCTAGTTCTAGTTTTAGTCATCTTTTCTTGACTCTAATTCAGAGGTTTTACATGCACATAAAGCTGAAAGGATAGGCTAATTTTAAGTTATCCCAGCTATCAATATAGATGTGTCAAATAGAAACTGCAAGTTCCAAATAGTGCAATAAAAACTTCTATGTTATAGCAACACCCATAAGTCAAAACCAACAGCAGCTAAGCCACAAAAATTTCAGAAAAGGATAAAATGAACATACAGTTGCTCGAAGTTTCTGTATTTCAGCAGATTGGGTGGCTGATCTACCAGATAATGCTTCCAACTCTTTTGTCTGTGTGATGCAACAAAAATAAAATAAAAGGTGCAGCCTTCATCTATTCAAAAACACAAGAATGTATGACATCAGGTGCCTACCTTCCTATCCAGAATGGTAGAAAGAGATTGGACATCAGCACGCAGCGAGTGAACATCGGAAGAAGCCTCTTTGTGTTTTCTCAGTTGAGTTTGCATACTTCCCATATCCTCTGGGAAAGAAGACACAAAGGTTCTGAACTTTGCGATGATTTCTTTCCTACCTAAAACAAAAATAGAAGAGGTTGCAGCATCTTATGTGACGGGTTAAACAAATTGAAACCAAATAATTAAACTCTCTATACCAGGTTCCCTTGATGCTTCTTCCAATTTAGCTTCGATCATCTTTCTTCCATCAATTTGTTTCTGTATCTCCATCTGCAGATCACTAATTCTAGAGTCGGCAACAGCAGAAGTTCGACGCAAAACATCCCCAATATCATTCTTCACGTTGACTTCTTTTTCCCGCCACCCAAGGTTGTCTTTCTCAACCTAGATTTATATTGTATCGGTATGGTTCAACAAAGATGAACACAAAGCATTAACATAACTAGTTAACTACCAACCACTTACAACCTGCAGTTTCTCGAATAGAGCTTGATACTGGACTATATCTCCTCTTGCCTTAGCAATCTGATCTTTCACCAAGACAAAAGCTTCAGAGGAGAAAATGCCCTTCACATTCTTTAACGTATTCTGTCACATAAATATCAAGAACACAAGCGTCATAAAGAAAGCATGAAGACAACAAAAGACAAAGAAGTTCAACTGTTAAAATGCCATACAATCAAAACTCTGAAGCAAACCTGTAAACTGGATAATTGCTTCAATATTTCCATTCGTTCTTCATGTAAGCGCTTAAGTTCTAGTTGTCTGGAAGAAGCTTGATCCTGTTCGGATAATTAAACCACTTCATCTTGCTATTACTTTGTTGTTCAACCAAGATTAAAAACAAAATACAAGCAAACTACCAGTAATTCCTTCAATAAGGACTCCATATCATGTAGATCCTTTTCTTTTTCTCTCGCCCTATCATTAGCAACACGCTTGTTTCCAAGAAGTACAGGAAATATTGCTCCTTTCGCAGCATCCGTCTCTGCTTTCAGTGCAGCCAAGTTCTTGTTGCTTTCTTCCAATTCCGCAATGGTACACTCCAGCTCCCCTTCAAAAAGAGAAGCAGAAATGACTCCAACATAACAGAAAATGTAGCTTAGATGCCAAAGAATTCTATAGCATATGTAACATAAAGTTCTCAACCGACTGCAGATTTAGCATCATATCGACTCCCAAGTAACTAATGCGCCAGAACATGCCTTTCAAAGACGAAATTTATTACTTCAAGTATTCCTCATAAGAAAATTGGCACCAAACAACTTTAAGAAAATTGAAAGTTACCTCTCAATTGTCTGAGCTCGGATTTATTCTTGGCATCAGTATCACGGTGGAATTGCATCTGCCTTGCCAAAGATCTGTGCTTCAAATGCATATCACCTATTGCCAATCTCAGATTCTTCACTTCCCTCTCTAACTCGATAGATGAGTTTGGCCTGCATGAACCTACACAAATAACGATACTTGAGCATAAATAAAAATACCGAGACAATACATAGAACTTACACATCAGTGCAATTAGTCTTGGCACCTTCTGGAAGTTGCTTTATAGATTCAGCATACAGTCCATCTTTCAAACCCCATAGACAATCAATGGCATGAACAATATTGCGGAAAGTGTTCTGAACTTTGTTGCCAGAGATCTCTCGGCATTCTTGCACCTGACTTGGAATGCTATTTGCAGAGCTACTCTCAGTTGCACCTTTTTCTAGAAGTCGATGCAGAAAGACATCCTCTGGAGGTAGTGACGCATTATCTGGCAATAGATTTATATACACTCAATACATTAACAGATTCTAATGTTGGTGAAGCTGCTCTTTCAGCCAACGTAAAAGCATTCAAAGAGGGAAAATAAATTAGAACAAGTAAAATATACACAAAGATGCCGATTACCATGAATTATCTAGGGTCCATGGAGAAGCAATATTGTAAGACCAATCTTAGATGTAAATATAGACAACAATATGTGCTATAAATAAATAAAAAATGGGTAGTTGTCACTCGGAAGGATATATCATATATGTGGTGTATCGATATTATAAGCTGCAAGTATAGAGAAATAAAAACTAAAAGAAAAAAGGAGGGAAAGAGAATATCTCAGATTGCTTTTGTAAGATAACTTTTTTTCTAAAAGACAAGAAAAGGCCGTTGTAGAGGTTGTTAACTAATTATATTTAATGAAGTTTCTCCCAAAAAGGGTGTATACTTTTCAGCGTGCAAGGGAGTCTATTTACTAACAAGCCATCTGCTTTACCGCCGTTCATGTCTAAACGTTTTTTGGTTGTCCCCAATATGTAATCTCAAGTTGTTCCAGATGCACAGAAAACCGCAAGCATAACCCAAAAATATCAAAAGTCAGTTATGATTTCTAATAAGTGCAAGTAAAAGGCAAGAACGAGTAGAATACATAAAGAAAAATCTGTAAGGCACACAAAGTTAGAGAAGGGAAGGAAGTCCCAAACGCTTACTGGATTTTGTTCAACCACATATGTAAAAACCTAGAACTTTATTTGCTTACAAAGTGAAATTCAAAACATGCACGATATTCACCATGCATTGAACTGGAGTTTTTACAATAGCACATGCAACGCATAGAGCCACAGTTCTTCATAGTTGGCATGGTGTTCCAAGGTGGCACTTACTATGACAACTCATCGGGAGCAACTACAACAATAAAACACGAGTTCCTAATCGGACAATCCACTAGTAACAATAAATCAACATATCAAGCAAAGCACACTGCACACGCTAATATCCATGAGTAATTTGATGGTTCCAATAGAACCTAAAAATGTGGTCCCTTTCATAATATATATCAATTATCTGGATAAAGTATAAGTGTCTCTGTTACCTTGTAATGAAAATGTATCAGCCATTTTATCTGAAAAAGAAAGTACGTTTATAGAGACATATAAACCCTTTCAGGTTCCTAAATATTCTAATGTGCACGACAATAAACTTCACTTAATAAACCAAACTTCCTTCCAATCTTGTGAAGGGGGAGATATAAAAAATATACGAGTAGCCATCTCTGGAAGAAAGAAAATGCATAGCGCCAGCGGAACAGACTTCTAACCTTCGTACTGAAAACCCTAATCAATGTAGACTAAAACGCCCTCAAGGCTCAAGCAACTCATGACTTCAGCCACTTAATGACATCAACTAGTCATAATTCACACTTCCAAATAACATGCAATTCAGCTTATGCTCAATTTTAATGCAACTAGAAAAGTATTACAACTAGATAAAATTAAAATAGTGCTTTGTAATTGATACTTCCAAGTTCCAACTACTTCATCACACCTCTCCATCTCAATTAACTTCGAGTTCAACACAGATACCATCATTTATGATCTCATTGTACCCAATAGTCGTCTGCTTGTGTTCCAAGTAGGTAATATACCCATAAAACAATCAATAATCCCCAACTGTTCATACAAATATTAGTATCAACCTCAAGTTCCCAACACTATTAGTACATTAATGATCCCACTCAGTAATCCCTTGGGATTTTTGCTTGAGTTACAGATCAATGCCAGCATTTTCCATACATGAAACATAAATTAACAGTCAGTCTACTCTCTAGGTAAAACAAAACGAGAAACTAGATAAAATTGATACTGAAAGAGAAAATGCTCACCTCCTGCAGCTGGATGATGTTTACCATCACGATCATGATTCAACAAATACTTTGTGCGGATAGAGCAAGACTCTACTTTATCAACAAGCTATTAGAAATCCAATCAAAATTTTGTCAATCAATTTGATGTACATCTATTCAAGTGAAATGTAACAAGAATGGGATTTAAGTAACTACCTCTTCCCAAGACTTATCTACTACTGCTAAAGTTTTGTTGTAAGGCAATTGTTTCTCCCTCAACTGACTGAACTTGTTCTCTAGAGCAACACATTCAACCTTTTGTGATTCTAACTTCTGAACAAGCTTTTGATTTTGAAATTTGAGTACCACAGTATCAAGCTGCAGGCCAATGAAAATACGTTTCTCAAAAGTGAAGTAAGACAAGTAAATGTAAGCATAATTAGCATACAAGCAAGCAAACTGCTGGAATTGTAGTAAACTGAAGAAGGCTATGCATTTTTTATCACAAGTGGCAGCTACATAATTCAGATTCTCAAAGCTCAATTAGTTAATTTTGTAAACATTGAACACAAGGAACCAGGCCTGGACTTTATTAACTAGCATACAACCTTCCCACCGGTCTGGGAAAGAGCCATTTGCTACATGCCGCTTCACCCCCTCCACTGCATGCTTTTGTCCCCTCATGGATGCCGTTGTTACATGACCGAAGTACCAAACTTATAATGGTTCTTGGGGAGGGGGGGTTGTCTATAATTTTAAAAGCCAACGGCAATCCGAAACAAACCAAAAGACATGTACATTTTTGCAAACCTTACACAAAAATTCACTATATCAAAGTGCAAAACACTTTCTAAAAATTAACAAGAGTATCTCAATAGGTAACATAAACCATAGCAAGACGGTTATAACTACAAGCATGGTGAAAAACTGTATAGGTAAACAAAAGAACATCTACCCATCTGTATGTAAGCAAATTCAAAACAATCTATATTGAGTTTTATCCACAGAATTTAAGTGATAAACAAACAAGCAAGCGTTTTTAACCAATTGAATACTTACCAAAAAAATAAGGTTACCAAAGTGAAATAATAACAATAACTTATCAATTGTTATCCCCAACCACATCTTATTATATATCAACTAAATAAGAAAGGTCAGACAGGTTACCAAAAATCTTCATAGCTTAAGGAAGTATAAAAACTTTTCACAGTATCCTAGGAAGTCTTCAATGGATTGGTTCCTTATCATAACTCATTCACAGATAATTACCTTACAGACTGGGTTGATCAGTGTCAAAAGGTAAAAAATTACTACCATGGATATTTCAAGCGGATCAAGTTCATACTAAATGAACAATGCAGGATGTCCATCTGATCAGCATGCAACATGTAGCTTTTGTATAGGTACGATATACAATTGTGCAACACCCAATGTTCCCCTTATTAATGGTATCAAGTAAGTCTACTCAAGCATACCACATCAAATAGAATTTTCTATAAAAATTGGCAGTCAACAAAGCGACATTTGGTTATTAGAGAATAACTTTTTACTCAAACATGTTTTGTTGCTTCTGATAGAGTAAAAATTATGTCCAGTAGTATCTACTCTTGTTAATTTAATACTTATACAAGGCGTGGCCCACGTTATTTTTCTAATTGGGAGGGTCTCCTAGTGGTTTGCTGTCGGGGTCTTACATGTTGCCTTGGCAATGCACTACAAAAATTGTCTGGTGCACCATGCACCCCTGCTTTGCCACTGTAAGAAAAGAAATGAAAAGAATAAAGCAAAGCATAAATAAAATGATAATAGCCAAGGTTCTAAATGGCATGAGGCGTGGCATGGCGGTGAGGTCAAGCCTCAAGCCTTACAAATTATAGGCAAAGCCATGGCATTTTTCAAAGCGTGACTTAAGGCGGCAAATCTGTATATATAGTACAAATAGAGATGTATGTGTGTGTCAGCGTATTGAACAATAATAAGTACACAAATTAAATTCATATAAAACTATACACAAATTAATCCATACATCTCTAATCTAAAATTCTAATACCATATGCAAAAAACATGTTAGATTGGATTAGTCGATTAGATTAGATGCATCTTATTAAAAACTATCCTTCCAAGTAATCTTCATCATTTATTTTCGTCATCAGAATTGAATTCAAAATCTTCCTCTCCTTCAATTTGTGGTAATGAATTCCCGCTTTCAGTGAATAATTAGAATCATTAATATTTAATTTAATAAGCCATAAATTATATATATGAAAAAAGTAAAAGGACCCATTCACGCCTTAGCATGCCTTGAGTATAACCTGCCGTAACGTGCTATACTGCAAAGCCACGCCTCATATTGCGCCACGGGCTTTAACGTGGCGGCAAGGCCACGCCTCGACGTTATGGCATACCATTACGCGTTTTTAGAACCTTGACAGCATTAAAATTCCAGCTTCATATTTTACTCCACACTTTTCTCGGCTCTCTTTCTTACCAACCAAATTACTACTACTCTGAATTAGCTTGCTGACTTTTTATGCATATGTCTACTTCTTTTCAGGTTTCAGTGTGCTCACATTCTTGGCTTGATCAAAATCATAAAAACAAAAAAGAACATGATTCTTGGGTTATCTCCCATCTTCCCCCCCCCCCCTTCTCTAGAAACACTTCGTCTACAAGCCAAACAACATTGTCAACACCATCGCCCTCTAAAGTTACAAAAGCAACAAAACGACTCACAACCACCCCTCGACAGCATATGAGGCTTCTCTAGTCATCAACATCAACTTATTCATCCTTAGCAGCCATCCTCGAGCCTTTTTTGTGTGACATATTAGGGTTGGCCTTCAAGGAATCGTATAGGCTCAACAGCCCCTGTCAATACTTTCAGGACTTAAATGACTTTCTCCCGCCTCTAAAACCCCTCCTTGAACCTCAGTGTGGCTTTGAATGGCAACCATGCCTTCGCAAACTCAAATCAACTCCTTAGGGTTTGACGAGTCACAGGTGCACAACCATGATCTATTTCTACCAAAGTTGGGTCGCGACTGTTGACAATGGTGCACAGATGCAACATGATCATGATGTAGGTTGTGCAATTGATTGTGGTATTTTGGTAACTGACATTATCCAGGATATGCTTTAAACTCAAGCATCAAATCCTCATCTAGAAACTAAACATGATTACTTCAATCCACTACATGTTTAAATCCACAAACTAGGAAAGAAAATAACTAGAGATAAAGCACAGCAGGCTTATATTAACGAGCAGAGTATCTATAATATAAATAAAGTCATCCCATCATATCTATATAACAGCGAATATACAAATCAAGGTTGGGTACTAAGCATATTGGGCATCACCTCCAAAAGATATCTAATGTTAAGTGGTTTGATTGGCATTGTTTCTTACCAGAGGTTCAGAACTCAAGTATGACATGCAATTAGGATCAAAAAAGTAAACGTAGGTATTGCAGGTCACTTGGTTCCAAAAGTAAAAAAGATATTCAAACTACAGATAACCACATTAATAAATGTAACATAAATAAAAATAATCTCAATCATATAACCAAGATGACCACATAATATCTATTTAACAAATATCACAACCAACTTTAGGTACTAACTTCATCCATCCAAGATTAAACATAGCATCCGATTTCAACAAATGACTATGGACTAGTCTGCTTGTATGGCATCACATATAATGCAACATAAATTTGAAATGCGCCTTTTCACAAGTAACTAAATCCTGAACAAAATAGTCTGTATTTAGTTAGGTTGGCAGCAGTTCCAAACATGTGCCCCAAACTCATATATGGCATCCACGCTTGAACTGTATAGATGAGGAAACATATGAATTTGTAATCAACTTAAATCAGCAAGCCTTCGGCCATATAACTCAACTAGTTAGAGCACATAACAGCATCAAGAAATTTAACATACAGATCTACCATGTATGTAACCTTTATAAAGCAATCCAACAGATACCCAATCACCAATTCAACATAAACCCTAGAAAACATAAAGTTTTTGGAACCAAAGTAAAAAAAATTGACTATCAATTACCTTTTTATCCTCAGAAGGCGGCACAAAAGGATGTTTCTTGGCAGCAGCAGCAGCGGTAGGAGATGATATTGAACTGAAGTGACGTTTGCGGTCTGCTTCACCAGTTCCTCCCATCATAGAAAAAACTAGTCCTAAATGACATCAATGAGAAAATAAACCCAGTTTGGACTTTTATTTATGAGCACACCCCAATAATCAACAACGAATTTGTAGAATTATCCCAATTGAACTCCAGTTATACATATGATGATGCGTATCATTGAGAAAGCCCTAATAAACTCCGGAAATAGCGATAAATTCTCTAATTTTTACTAAAAACAAGAACCCTAAAAAGGTTCACAAGAAATTGAAGGCGTTTTACATGAATTATACATAAAGCTGCGAACTTCCTCTCTCTCGCTTCTTCCCCTTTTGTCTCTAGAATAGATACAGAGTCATGTATACATACCTCTCTCTCTCTCTCTCTCTATATGAAGTTCTTTCGATTGTATCATTGTATGGATGATAAAAGGGGCGAGGGGAATTAGGGAAATATCGTAGGGGTATTTTGGTCATGTCCTTATAAAACTTTGCACGTGCTCAGGTAGTGGTCGTGTCACGTGGAATTAGGCAGTGGCTTCAAACGAGATATGAGGGAAGTAAGAGGGTGGAAGTGTAAAACTATAAATAGGCAAAAATTATATTGAATTTTCACGATTGAAAAAAACATGTAATTTTAAGATTATATACTTCTTCGGTCTCGAAATAAACCTAAATTATTATTTTAGTATGTTTTAAAATAAGTATCCACTATTAAAAGTAAATGTTTATTTTTTCATTATATGTGGTTGCGTTGGTACATGCCTAGATGAGAATGTGACAAAACTCAATGTTCCAAATTTGATACGACATGGGACAGGACAATAACTAATTGTTCACGTTTAGCGTGACATGGGATAGGGACAAACTGGGATGAATAAAAACTAAATTATTATTAATCTACCATCGTTTGATGTTTAACCTTAATATGGTATTTGTTTTAATGGTCATCGTTGCTAACCGCAGCAGCCATTGCCACCACTAGCTTAGCCACTGTCCGCCACCTCCTCTTCCACTACAACAACCTCCTCCACCACCCCCAGAACCACCGTCGGCCACCGACCACCACTGCCCACCACCACACCGCTACCATCATAGGCCACTTCCACCTCCTCTTCCACAACCACAGTTGGCCACTGACCACCACCGTCCATCGCCACCACCACTATCATCATAGGTCACCTCCACCATAACCACCACACCTATCAGCTACCACTATCTACCCATCATTATCACTACCTCCACCGTAGCAGCTACAACTACCTCTTTTATCTTCCATAAGCATCAACAGTACCATCATGGCCCTCCTCCACAACCACTGTCGACCAACGACCGCCACCGTCCATTGTTGCCACCATTACCATCAAAGGTCACCTCCACCATAACCACCATTATCATCGACTACCACTATGATTGCCCACCACCACCACTACCTCCACCACGTCAGCCACAAATACCTATTTTACCACTATTGGTAGCCAGTACCACCAACACTATCTACTATCTTCACGTCCTCCATAACCACCTTGTCCACCAACCAACATAGACTATTCCTCCACAACCACCGCCGACCATCGACCACCACCGCCTATCACCACCACTAGTATCGTTGACCACCACCACCATAAACACCACCACAATCAGCTACCACCACTACTTCCACCACATATGCCACAACTACCTTATCCACCACTGTTGACCGATAACACCACCACTATCTGCCTCCACAACCACCGTTGGCCACTGACCACCACCATCCACCGTTACTAATATTGTCAACCACCACCGCCACTAGTATTGTCGGCCACCACCACCTCCACCATAACCACCACCATCGCCTACCGTTGTCATTGTCCATCTCCATCCCTACCTCCACCACATTGGCCTCAACCACCTCCTCCATCCCGATCGATCGCCACCGCCACCACTACCTCCATGACATCGGCTAAAACTACCTCCTCCATCCATGTAGACTGCCACTACCACCATTTTCACGTCCTCTATTGCCACCATCGTCTACCAACCACTACTATCTCTACCTCCACAACCATTGTGTTGCAACAATATTTACCGTGCCTCCACCAATTGATAAGGATCTTCCAAAATTCAAACTGATTTAAACATAGTTTTTCCTTTATATGAATTGGGTTTTTTTCGAACTACCATTAATTATATCAAAATTTTCATTCAAATTTGTGACTATTGTATATGTATGTATTTATATATATGTGAAAATTGTGTAAAAGTGTTTATAATTTAAATTATTTAAACATTTACTTTATTTTGTGTCATTTATAACTGTTATATTATATATATATATACTAGGTTCGATCCCCGTGTATTACACGGGGTAATTTGAAAAAATTAAATCATGTTAGACACTTATCTTACATATATGAATTATCATCGATAGTACGATGCTACTTCAAACTTGTACTCTTGAAATTATTCTGAAGAATAACTCTGAATAATTGAATTTAGAAATAAAACTATATCAATAATTAGTTAAAATGAAGTTAATCCTAGAATAAAATTAAATTTAGAAATGGAACTATATCAGTAAATTGAATTTAAACTTATAAATAAATTTAGCATGACTCTTCAGACTTGTACTCTTGAAACAACTTTGAAGTAAGTATAGTCAAGAAAAGTCAACTTTTGTCGACGTTTGACACAAATCCCTCACAAATCCGGCACTGATTTTTTTTTTTTAAAAAATTATACCTACAACTTTCCCGATAGTTTTTCGACGGATTTGTAACGGATTATTTTTACTTATTTAATACTGTCACAAATCCGTCGGAAATCTGTCACAAAATTGGTCTAATTTATTTAAATAAACTAATTAGCGTTAATTAATTAAAATTTCCGACGGATTTTAATTGATTTTTATATTTAGTTATACTCCGTCGGAAATGTTTAAGAATTATTTATTTTTATTTTCCCTTCTAAAAAAATATTTTCGACGGATTTTTGACGGATTGTAATTTTCTAATAAAAAATTATATTCCGTCGGATTTTTTTTAAAAAGATATATGTTTTATAAGAAAAAATAAAAAACTTTTTTAATAAGTTTCGACGGATTTCCGATGGAATATAACTCTTTTGTGTCGGAATATAACTTTTTATTATTAAAATTATTATCGGTCGGAGATTTTGAACTTTTTAAATATATATTTTTGGAAGGAAAAACATATAAATAAAAAAAATTCTTTGAACATTACCGACGGATTTTCGACTGAATTTGCATTTAGCGGCGGGGATTTTTCGACTGCAATATCTATCGGAAAGTTGTTTTTCCGACAGATTTCCGACGGATAAACCACATTTTTTAGTAGTGTGTCAATCAAATAGGTATAATTGAACTGTTAATGTAAATTGTGTCTAGATACATTCAAATAAGTCTAATTGAACCACTAATGTAAATTGTGTCTAGATACGTGTTTAGGCGGGAAAACAATAAAACCGACTCACCAGAAGATGACACGTATCACCCAAGTTACTTATTTATTATAAGTATAGATAGATATATAATCATCAAATAACTTTTAGGGTTAACTTGTCTAATTTTGTTCATCCAGTCCTGGTCGCTTGTTTTGTACAGTCATGTTCAGTTGTGTATTATCCATTATGTCATATTCCATCATGTCTAATCATGTTTGCTACAAAACATTACCTTAATTATGAAATTGATAAAAAAATTCTCTCTAAAATTAAGGGTAAAATGTCTTTTAGTTGATTAAAAAGTGTAATAATTACATATTTATAAAATTATGTCTTTTTCACTATGTACATTTAATTTTGGGATGAAGGAAGTAATTATTACACTTTTTAATTACTAAATAACAATTGTATCAATAATAATAGAGAGATAAATTTTATTTTTCTTACAATTAAAGGTAAAATGGGAAAATAAGTGTTTCCCCTGCATCTTCCCCTTCCATACAGTTATCTTGATAGAAATTTGATATCTTTATTTTTGTCTCAGGAAATAGTTGGTTTTCCACGAGGAATCTTGTGAATCCTCCATTCATCCCCCCTTTCTAATTGGCCTTTATCTTCGCCCCCCACCCCCGCCCCCGACAAGCTTGCACAATACATACATGAGTTAATGGTTGATTCATATAAAAATCAAAACCCTACCCTCATAACCTCATCACCAACTCATAAATCTTCTTGCCACCGTCCACATACATTGTCACCGGTTGTTGCTTTGTCATCTACTGTCAACCCTCGACAACCTTCTGTTGGTTTGTTCATCGTTTTTTTCCTAATTTTTCATCAGGGTTTTGATAAGTTAATTAGTGTAAACCATATGGTGCAATTATCATTGGCTAAATAAAGAGCGAATATCATCGAATCATGGACAATGGAGGTTCCAACCCCACCCTTCAACCCCCTAATTTTCATTTATTGGTTTCATCTTCCCTTTTTTGTTGAAAAAGTTCGATCAAACCCTGATTTTAATTCGATGTCTACTATAGAAAATTGATGCTTCAAGATTTCCTATAAAAATGAATGTTTGTTGCTAAATGTAGAGGTATTTTAACAAGAGTAAATTATGGTCCTATTTGAAATAATCAATCTTGAAAAATACAGAGGTATAGTAACAAGAGTAGATTATGGTTTTGACTCTTGTGGTTCGAGGTATGGTTTAGTTTTAGTACTTACAATTCATTTATTACCAAACAATGGTGGTACTAGTTTCCGTATGAATTTGGTACTTCCCACTAACGACTGTTAACTTTCAACAGTTAAGTCCCCTTACACAAGGGCGATATGGTCATTTTACTTTTCAACTGTTACGTGGCAATGGCATGAATTATTAATATTTTTAATGAATATACTTAGTCACCGACCATAATTCAACCACCGCCCATTAACACCCACCATCAATAGCGTCATCACTGCCACAACAAACCAGAAACATATACACAAACATAAAATACAACAAAATACATAAACAAATTGGTTAAGCAGATGCAACCACAAATGAAGATCATTATCACCGAATCATTGCATACATCCCAAAAAATAAAAATGAAAAACACAACCACGAACATTGAACACGAGCATCTAAAAACGTCAATAACATATGAATATAGACAATAAACTTTTACAACCTCAAATCCAACTTGAAAATGAAATTGCTAAATGCCTAAGTCAAACCATAATTTTTGTGATCTAACAGAAGTAGATGAACTAGAAAAAGAAGATGTAATAACCATTGTTTTTTAAATACTATAAAATGAAAGGGTTGTTGGGGATGTACCTTGTAACCTTGGAGGACCAATTATGTAATTGGTGGTACATATGGGGTTCCCCAATTTCATTTCATTCCATACCTTTTCTCCAAAAAGTATGTGTTTGAAGAACAAA